TGCATTCTTTATCCTGCCTGAATCACATGAGGCCACGCCCCATTCCCACACCTGCTCAGGTGCTCCTGTGCCTCTAGTTATGCCCTCTTATTTCTGGACAAACAGCTGGTGGCAGAGTAAAATGGACACAAGGCAAGCTGTCCACAGAGTAGGTCTCTCCTCCCCACCTCCCAGCTGCCATGGACCCAGCATTCCAAGCCTGGCACCCAGCTCTCCTCAGTGGTCCACAGGGGCAGATGGTGGCAGAACACACTGCAAACACATGTGCATGCTTCACCAGAAAGCCAGGATGGAACTGGAAAAAGGCAGATCTTCCTTAGAAGGGATTGGACACAGAGAGGAGAGGATGTCTCAGGCAATCCAAAGTAGTAGACGTTGAAGGGTGGGGACTCTATTAGAGGAGCTGGAGAATCCAAAAAGCCTGATGTAGACAAAAAAATCTCCCCTGATCTTGTATTGAAGACTTTAAAAAAATTATTGTAAAGATGATGTGTTACAGTTATATAAGTAAAAAAATATTGTAAAGATGAGGGGATACAGTTACATAAGTAAAGAGGACATTTCTTTTTGAACTCACTCCCTCATTTTCTCCCACTTCTCCCCTTTCCCCCCACACTCTTCTCCCACCCCAAGTTTTCATTTCCAACATAGTGTCTAGTATCATCACTGATGCATTGGTTCATCCTTTGTGATTCCCCTTCCCTTCCTCAGATCAGAACTTATATACAAGACAAAGGGTAGGGGGCTGGGAAGGTGGCTCAGTGGAAGAGCACTTGCTTTGCATGCATGAGGCTCTCGGTTCGATTCCTCAGCACCACATAAGCAAAAGAAAAAAAGCCAGAAGTGGCGCTGTGGGTCAAGTGGTAGAGCGCTAGCCTGGAGCTGAAGAGCTGAGGGACAGCGCCCAGGCCCAGAGTTCAAGCCCCACAACTGGACCAAAAAAAAAGACAAAGGGTATTAAAATAAAAAACAAGAATAGCAGGGCATGAATCAAAAGGAAAAAGAAAAAAGAAATAACTTCAAGCAGTACATTATTAAAAAAAAAAAAACTCTTGTGGGCTGGGAAAGCGGCTCAGTGGCAGAGCACTTGCCTTGCATGCATGAGGCCCTGGGTTCGATTCCTCAGCACCACATAGGCAAAAAGAAAAAAGCCAGAAGTGGCGCTGTGGCTCAAGTGGTAGAGCGCTAGCCTTGAGCTGAATAGCTGAGGGACAGTACCCAGGCCCAGAGTTCAGGCCCCACGACTGGACCCCCCCAAAAAAAAACCCTCGTTTCCATTTCTTAGAGTTCATTATATTAAGCTTCATTTTATATGGTCCTATGCACCTAGCGACTGCTAAGAATATCATAGACAACCTAGTTATGAGGGAACCATGCAGCCTATGTTTCTTTGGGTCTGGCTTGCTTCACTTAATATAATTTTTTCCAGGTCTTTCCATTTCCTTATGAAACAATGTCATTCTTTCGAATGGAAGCATAGAATTCCATTGTGTATACCACATATTCTTATTTTTTGGGGGGGGGTCCAGTTGTGGGGCCTGAGCTCTGGGCCTGGGCACTGTCCCTCAGCTCTTCAGCTCAAGGCTAGCACTCTACCACTTGAGCCACAGTGCCACTTCCAGCTTTTTTCTTTTTTATGTGGTGCTGAGGAATCGAACCCAGGGCCTCAGGCATGCAAGGCAAGTGCTCTACCACTAAGCCACCCCAAACCTTTTTTTTTTTTTTTTTTTTTTTGCCAGTCATGGGGCCTGAACTCTGGGCCTGGGTGTGTCCCTCAGCTCTTTAGCTCAAGGCTAGCACTCTACCACTTGAGCCACAGCGCCACTTCTGGCTTTTTTCTGCTTATGTGGTGATGAGGATCGAATCCAGGGCCTCATGCATGCAAGGAAAGCACTCTACCACTGAGCTACCTTCCTAGCCCATACCACATATTCTTGATCTATTCATCTACTGAGGGGCATCTGAGTTGGTTCCATATCTTAGCTATGGTAAATAATGCTGCAGTGAACATGACTGTGCTGGTAGCTTTAGTGTGGCCTTTTTGTGCTCATTTGGGTAAATGTCCAGGAGTAGGATTGCTGGGTTATAGGGGGAGCTCTATGTTTAGTCTTTTGAGAAACTTCCATACTGCTTTCCAGAGTGGCTGAACAAGTTTGTACTCACACCAACAGTGTAGTAGTGTTTCCTTCTGGCCACATCTCTGCCAGCATTGGTTATTATTAGTTTTCTTGATAATGGCCATTCTAACTGGGAGATGTGGAATCTCAATGTTATTTTAATTTGCATTTCTTTTATAGACAGAGAGGTTGAACATTTCTTCATGTGTCTATTGGCCACTCTTATTTCTTCTTCAAAGAAGTCTCTCTTTAAGTCTTAAGCCCACTTATTATTGGCGGTGTTGCTTCTTTGAGGGTTTGTTTTGGGGGGTTAATTTTTTTTGAGCTCTAAGTATATTTTAGATATGAGGCTGTTGTCTGTTATATAGCTAGTAAAGATTCTCTTGCATTCTGTGTGCTTTCTATTTATCTTACTAGCGATATCCTTTGTCATGCAGAAACTCTGCAGTTTAATGCAGTCCCATTTTTCCAGCCTTTCTTTGACTTGTTGTGTTTCTAGATCTTCACTTAGGAATTGAAGATCTAGCAATGAATCCACAGATCTATGGCCACCTAATTTTTGATAAGGGAGCCAAAAACACAGACTGGAAGAAAGATAGCCTCTTCAGCAGATGGTGCTGGTAGAATTGGAAATTCACATGTAGAAAACTGAAGTTAGATCATTATATAGCACCCTGCACCAGAATCAATTCAAAATGTATCAAGACCTTAGTGTAAGAACAGACACCCTGGGGTTTGGAAGGTAGCTTAGTGGGGGAGTGCTTGCCTTGCATGCATGAAGCCCTGGATTTCATAACTCAGCACCACATAAGTAGAAAAGGCCAGAAGTGGTGCTGTGGCTCAAGTGGTAGAGCGCTAGCCTTGAGCTGAAGAGCTCAGGGAAAGCACCAAGGCCTAAAGTTCAGGCCCCATGACCAAAAAAAAAAAAAATCAGACACCCTGAAAATATTACAGGAAGGAATAGGGGAAACACTAGGGCTCCTTGGCACAGGTCAAAACTTTTTAAATAATGATCCAGAAACACAACAAATCAAAGAAAGGCTTGAAGGCTTTTTTTTTTTTTCCAGTTGTGGGGCTTGAACTCTGGGCCTAGGCACTGGCCCTGAACTCTTCAGCTCAGGATGAGCACTCTATCACTTGAGCCACCGTGCCACTTCTCGTTTTCTGGTGGTTAATTAGAGATAAGTCTCACAGACTTTCCTGCCCAGGCTGGCTTTGAGTAGCTAGCCTCCTGAGTAGCTAGGATTACAGGTGTGAGCCACCAGTGCCCAGCCTTGAAGACTTTTATTTATTTATTTTTATTTATTGTTTTTGGGTCCGGTCATGGGGTCTGACCTCTGGGCCTGGGCGCTGCCCCTCAGCTCTTCAGCTCAAGGCTAGCGCTCTACCACTTGAGCCACAGTGCCACTTCCAGCTTTTTTCTGCTTATGTGGTGCTGAGGAATCGAACTCAAGGCCTCATGCATGCAAGGCAAGCACTCTACCACTGAGCCACCTTCCCAGCCAGCCTTGAAAACTTTTAAAACAATGGAATGATGCCTTCTAGGAAAGTCTCCTCTGATCTAGATGCTGGCGGCTCACACCAATAACTCTAGTCTCTTAGTAGGCTGAGCTCTGAGGATTGTGGTTCAAAGTCAGCCTGGGCAGAAAAGTCCATGCAACTCATATCTCCAGTTAACCAGCAAAAAGTCAAGGTATAGTTATAACTCATGTGGTAGACTGCCAGCTTTGAGCAAAAAGCCCGGAGTTCAAGCTCCCAGTATCAGTATACAGATACACACACAATAACAACAACAAAAACCTGTAAGTCTCCTGTGGAGCTGGTGTGGGAAAAGAACTGACAGGGAGAGCTGAGTCTGAAGGGGGCCTAAAGTTGTCCTGAAGAAGTTAAAGAGCTGGAGCAAGGCAAAGCTAGGACTCTGGTGGACGTTGTTCACTAATGGTCCTGCGTTGGGTCAGGGAAAGTGAGGAATTACACACGGTTCACTGACTTTAGCCACTAGGTGTATGTGGGGGTGGAGGGGAGGGAACTCAGTACTGGACACTAAAGTAGATGGAAGCTAAGTACCTGGGAGACTCCAGATGGAGGTGCCAAACTGCTAAAGAGGAACTCCTAGGAGGTAGACTAAGATGTTCCTGCAAACCCAGAGTGGCTCAGCCACAGACAGCTGAACTGAGCTAGACTCTGGAGGACTTAAGCCCTTGGGTAAAAATTGTGCCTAGAAGCATGGTGTTTGGACCACAGTTCATTAGCACTGGTGATGCTGAGATGTCTTCCCTTTGTGGTTCTGCCATCTTCAGTGAGGTTCAAGGTCACCAGCTACAGCTCAAGCAAGGGTAAGGAAAAAGAGCATGGAGAGGGTATTAAAGGACCTGGAGGTGATAAGGTGATTTATTCTCTCATTCTATTGGTCAGAATTCAGTCACATGGCCTCTCCCAACTTCAACAGAAACTGAGAAATGTCGACTAGCTATGGTCAGAAAGAAGAAAAAGGGTTGGGGAACAGTTTCAGCTATATATGGAGATAATAAAAGCCTACTCCATTGGGTACCAGTGGCTCCCACTTGTAATCCTAGCTACTCAGGAGGCCGAGAGCTGAAGATCTCAGTTCAAAGCCAGCCTGGGGCAAGATAGTTTGTGAGACTCTGTTTTGTTTTGTTTTTGTCAGTCATGGGGCTTGCACCCTGGGCCTGGGCACTGTCCTTGAACTCTGCAGTTCAAGGCTAGTGCTCTACCACTTCCGGCTTTCTGGTGGTTAATTGGAGATAGGAATCTCAGAGACTTTTCTGCCTGGGCTGGCTTTGAACCATGATCCTCAGATCTCAGCCTCCTGAGTACCTAGTATTACAGGCATGAGCCATTTACTCTCAGTTCATGAGACTCTTTTTTTTTTTGGTGTCCCGGTTTATTGAAAATATTACAGCAAAGTAGATTAAACAGCTCCACGAGGTGTTTTGAAATTCATCCCCACGGTCGGCTGAGTGACCTGCAGGTTGGAGAGGCTGCCGAAGTCCAAGAGCTTCAGCATTTCCTTGGTGTCAGGATCAACTTCAATGATCTCCTGGTCCAGGGCTGAGACCTCGGGGACGTAGTTATCCCTCCTTTCTCTCTCCTCCTCCTGCAGCTTGATGGAGATGCCCCGCACCGGGCCCCTCTGAATCCTCTTCATCAGGTGCGTGACATACCCCGCGATCTTGTTGCGGAGCTTCTTGCTGGGGATGATGGCGATCTCCTCGCACACGCGCTTGTTGGTGTGGAAGTCGTTGCCCAGCCGCGTGTAGTACTTCTCGATGATGACCCGTGCCGCCTTCTTCACGGTCTTGGTGCGAACGCGGCCCATGTCGGCGGTCCCGGCGGAAGAGAGTTCATGAGACTCTTATCTCCAATAAATACAAGAAAACTGGAAGTGGTGCTGTGGCTCAAACTGCTAGAGCACTAGTCTTGGGCAAAAGAGCTCAGGGACTGCTCCCAGGCCCAGAGTTCAAGCCCTACCATCAACTAACTAATTAAATGAATTAATAAACAAAACCCTATTCTCAGGGTTCAAGAGAATCTTGCCTTTTCCTCCCCAATCCCTTTTGATTCCCATAGAATGAATCCAATTTCCTAGGTCAGATATAAGTATATGACTGTCATAGTTAAGGAGGGTCTACATTTCCCTGCTCACAGAGCTTGATAGGCTTAGGAGGAATATGTGACCAGAAGTAGGCAAATCAGAACTATGGGCTTGGATTTTGTTGGAATACTGAGGAAAATGTTCTTTTTTTTTTTGTTCAGTCGTTGGGCTTGAACTCTGGGCTTGGGCGCTGTCTCTGTACTATTCAGCTCAAGGTGAGTGCTCTACCGCTTGAGCCAGAGCACCACTTCTGGTTTTCTAGTAGTTCTTATTGGAGATAAGAGTCTCATGGACTTTCCTGCCTGGGCTGGCTTTGAACCACGATCCTCAGATCTCAGCCTCCTGAGTAGCTATGATTACAGGCGTGAGCCACTGGTGCCTGGCCTGAGGAAAAAAATTTTTTGGGGGGAGTCCGGTCGTGGGGCTTGAACTCTGGGCCTGGGCACTGTCCCTCAGCTCTTCAGCTCAAGGCTAGCACTCTACCACTTGAGCCACAGCGCCACTTCCGGCTTTTTTCTTTTTGCTTAAGGAATCGAACCCAGGGCCTCATGCATGCAAGGCAAGCACTCTACCACTGAGCCACCTTCCCAGCCCCCTGAGGAAAATATTCTTACTACCAGTAACTAGTACTAGTAACTACTGAAGCCTAGGCAGCCATCTTGCTAGGCTAGAAGTTGAGTATCATCTGGGCTTGGTGGCATATCCTTGTAATCCCATCACTTGAGAGACTGTGAGTCAAAAATATGTCTGAGACCAGCTTTGGCTACATAATGCCAAGGCCAGCCCATGCTGCAGGATGAGACCTTGTCTTAAAACAAAATCAGCCAGACACCAGGGGCTCATGTCTATAATCCTTGCTATGCAGGATGGTGAGATCTGAGCATCAAGGTATGAGCCAACCTGGACAGAAACGTCTTCAAGATTCTTAAGTCCAATTAGCCATCAAAAAGACAGAAGTGGAGGTGTACCTTGACTTGTAGAGTTCTAGCCCTGGTATCAAAACAACAACAACAAAAGAATTCCCTCCCCTTCTTTGTGTTAGTGCTCTGGTTGGGACATAGGGTCTCTGCTCTCGCTCAGCCTTTTCTGCCTCAGCTAGGGTGGAGCCTCAATCCTCGGATCTCAGCCTCCTGAAGAGCTGTGATGGTAGGTGAGAGCCATTAGCACCTGATATTTACCTCATTTGGGAATGAGGTGTAGCTCTGTGGCATGTGCAAAGCGGTAGGCTTAATTCCCAACACTACAAGGCATAAAGGCAATAAAATAATCACCTCATTGAATTCTGCATCAGTCCCGGGTAAGTCCTCCCGTTCTTCCCATTTCAGGCCATTTATGTACACTTCAACGTACATGTTTATACAGGGCCAGATGTCCAACGCAGAACTTCCATGCTTTGCTGTGGCTATCTTGAAACTGCGTCTTGTTTTGTACTGGTACTGAGGCTTGAGCTCATGACCTCACACTCTTGGCTTTTTCACTAAAGGCTGGTGTTTTACCACTTGAGACACAACTCTGGTATTTTTGCTGATTAATTAGAGATATAAATTTCCTAGACTTTCCTGCATGGGCTAGTTTTGAACCTCGATCCTAAGATCTCAGCTTCCTGAGTAGCTATAATTACGATTACAATGTGACCCATTGCAGTTCAGTGTGAGTACGGCCAGTGGCAAGGCCCTGTGCCCCTGTGAACCAGAACCCGCTTCAGGGAGGAAGAAAGCAACACAGATGACGGAGGGTCCCTGGTGCATCCTCTTCCGCAAATTACTGCTCTGGAGGAACAAGCCATTTGCATTAAACTTGTTGGCACAAAAAACAAGAGCACGGGTACCTACCAACAGGTGAGATGCAGGCAGCTTGAATCACATTTGTATAGCTTTTTTTTTTTTTGCCAGTCCTAGAGCTTAAACTCAGGGCCTGGGATCTGTCCCTGAGCTGCTCTGTGCTCAAGGTTAGTACTTCTACTTGAGCCACAGCACCACTTCCAGCTTTTTTGAGTAGTTTATTGGAGACAAGAGTCTCAAGGACTTTCCTGCTTGGGCTTGTTTCGAACCATATTCCTTAGATCTCAGCCTCTTGAGTAGCTAGGATTAAAGATGTGAGCTACAGGCGTCAGGAAGTGAGGCATTTTTTACTGTTATGGTCAAAACAAAATGTGTATGAATGCATGCGTATACGTGCAATTTTAGGATTACTCTTGCTGATGTTGTTCTTGGTGGTTCTAGCATTTGAACTCAGGACCTTGGAACTTACTAAGCGAATGCTCTACTATTTGAGCCACACTCGGAACTCTTTGTCTTTTGAGACAGGCTGAACTTGAATTCAAGATTTCCCAGCTTCAATGGTTTTGTGTAGCATCTTGTCTTATCATGTTTTGTAAATACTAGAGAAGCTACGGCCAATTTGACTCAGAGATGGAATGAAACTTTGTTTACAAAAATTGCTATTAAACCCCTGCTTAAGGTGAGCTGAGCTTATTTTCTATGAGCACACTAAAAGTGAAAAACAAATGTGAATAAAATGTAAAATTAAAAAAAAAATCCCCTGCTTCAGTCTCCAAAGCACTGGGATTACAGATGTGTACCTCCATACCTGGCTTGAATAAAATGGTTTTTTGTTTGTTTGTCTGTTTTTGTTTATGTCAGTTGTGGAGCTTGCACTCTGAGCTTTGGCGCTGTCTCTGAGCTCTTCATCTCAGGGTGAGCACTCTACCACTTGAGCCACAGTGACATTTCTAGTTTTCTAGTGGTTAGTTGGAGATGAGAGTCTCACGGACTTTCCAACCAGAGCTGGCTTTGAACCATGATCATCAGATCTCAGCCTCCTGAGTAGCTAGTACTATAGGTGTGAGCCACCAGTGCCTGGCCTTTTTTGTTTGTTTTATTGGTCATGGGTCTTGAACTCTGGGCTTGGGTGCTGTCCCTCAGCTCTTCAGCTCAAGGCTAGCACTCTACCACTTGAACCACAGTGTCACTTCCAGTTTTCTGGTGGTTAATTGGAGATAAGAGTCTCATGGACTTTCCTTCCAGGGCTGGCTTCACACTGTGGAGAATCACAGTGTGAAGCCAGCCTGAGCAGGAAAGTCTATGAGGTTAATTGTCTCCAATTAACCACAAAAAAGCTAGAAGTGACACTGTGCCTCAAGTAGTAGAGTGCCAGCCTTGAGCAAAAAAGCTAAAGGACAGCGCCTATGCCTTCAGTTCAAGCCCCAGGACCAGCAAACAAAAACTGGTATTGCACAAAATAAAGATAAGTGAGAACATTCATACTAATAACATATTTTTTCTTACTTAGAAATTAGTGGCAAATAAATTGAATATGACAAAAATGGCAAATTCAGAGAAATTGAAGGAAAAATTTTATATTTAAATGTGTTTACAGCTTTTCCCATATATATATAAATATATATATATATATATATTTTTTTTTTTTTGCCAGTCCTGGGGCTTGAACTCAGGACCTGAGCACCGTCCTTGAGCTTCTTTTTGCCCAAGGCTACTACTATACCACTTGAGCCACAGCTCTCCTTCAGGCTTTTTGGTTGTTAATTGGAGATAAGAGTCTCATGGACTTTTCTTCCTGGGCTGGCTTCCAACCATGATCCTCAAGTTTCAGCCTCATGAGTAGCTAGGATGCTAGGTGTTTGCTGTCGGTGCCTAGCCTCCATCTTTTATCTTTAGCTAGACCTTTCCCTGGCCTCCTCCCTAGCTTTGCTGCCTCCAGATTTCCTTCTGTTATGGTGACCTTGCACCTTGATGGTGGTTTCATTCCCTCATTCCTCTGCTCAAGAATATTCCTTAGGGGTCTGGGCGCCAGTGGCTCACACCTGTAATTCTAGCTACTCAGGAGATCTGAGGATTGAGGTTCAAAGCCAGACCAGGCAGGAAAGACCATGAAATTCTTATCTCCAATAAACCACTCAGTAAAACCAGAAGTGGTGCTATGGCTCAAGTGGTAGAGTGCTCCCTCGCCTTGAGCTGAAGATCTGAGGGACAGCACCCAGGCCCAGAGTTCAAGCCCCATGACTGACAAAAAAAAAAAAAGACTATCCCTTAGGGGGCTGGGAATGTGGCTTAATGGTAGAGTGTTTGCCTTGCATAAATGATGCCCAGGGTTCAATTCCTCAGTACCACATAAACAGAAAAAGCCAGAAGTGGTGCTGTGGCTCAAGTGGTAGAGTGCTAACCTTGAGCAAAAGAAGCCCAGGGACAGTGCTCAGGCCCTGAGTTCAAACCCTAGGATGGGTTTAAAAAAAAATAGGGGCTGGGGAGGTGGCTCAGTGGTAGAGCGCTTGCCTTGCATGCCTGAGGCCCTGGGTTCGATTCCTCAGCACCACATAAGCAAAAAGAAAAAAGCCGGAAGTGGCGCTGTGGCTCAAGTGGTAGAGCTCTAGCCTTGAGCTGAAGAGCTGAGGGACAGCGCCCAGGCCCAGAGTTCAGGCCTCATGACCGCCCCCCCCAAAAAAATATATATATATTTTTACAATTTTTTTTACAATTTTTTTTTTACAATATATATATATATTGTAACTCCTTAGTACTCACAGGATGAAGTCCACACTCTTCAACCTAGCCAAGTCCTCTTTGCCTTTGGCTCCTACTCATATTCCTGAAGACTTATTTCCTCAAGTTGCCCTAAACTGGCCTTTCACATTTAGATTGTCTGCTTTATTCAGGCTGTCCTCCTAGCCTAGGTTGCTCTTTATGTTCCTCATCCTATAATCTCTCTGCATCTCGGTAGCTCCTT